CCCTTCACAATAGCCACAAACAATATAAAATATCTTGGGGTAACTCTAACAAAACAAGTGAAAGACCTGTATGGCAAGAACTTTAATTCTTTAAAGAAAAAAATTAAAGAAGATATCAGGAAATGGAAAAAATGTAATGCAAACTTTCTAGTCCCAGCAGGGCCCTTCTCAGCCCCAAAGAAAACACAGGGATGCTATATTAATTATGGAACTGTTGGCCATTGGCTATGGTTTCTTATTTGGCTAGCTCAGCCTTAATTATTCACCCATTTTCTAATAATCCATGTATTTCCATGTGGTCTTAACTTGATGGAGAATAGGTCCAGGGACCTCTTACTCCTATGGCATCCTACATTTTGACTGTTTAGTGTCTTGGCAGTGAAGAGGAGAGAGCAAATTCATGTTTGTTCTGCTTATATTCTGATTCTACCAAGCTATGTCACTTCCTGCCTGGCCAATCAGTCAATCAGTGTTTTATTCATTAACCAATAAAGACTGCAGTTGGGCAGGCTATTTTTACTCTCCTTCATTACCTCCATCATCTCCTCCTCATCTTAGCCCTGCAACAGGTTTCTAGCAAGTGGTCCTCCTCCCAACCTCCCTCCATTTCCTGGGGACTTTACTGAACCTAGATGCAAACCCATATTTCCTCCTTCTTGTGGGCTTTCTCAGGCCTCCCTTCTACACCATTCCCATTGCCTTTTGTCAGGCACAGATACCTAGAAACTCTCTCTACCTGGGACCCCCACTGGCCATACTAGAAGGCGACTCAAGTAGGTGATTTTCTTTATTGTTTCCTTCACTGGGCAAAAAGATGTTTAGTGAGATCCTATTAGCCAATTGTTGGACTTAATTCATGGGCAGATGGGATGTTGATCAGATTGCCCTTCTATACATATATCTTGTAGGGAATTGCTGATGTTTTCTTTTATTGGTTTCAGTTTTTCAGGTTTCTCATTGAGGTCTTTGATACACTTGGATCTAATTTTTGTTCAGGTTGATAAAGATGTATCTAATTTACTCTTCTACATGTGTAATCCATTTTGCCCAGCACCATTCATTGAAGACACAGTCTTTTCTCTAGGTTATGATTCTTGGTATCTCTGTATAATATCAGATGATTGTATTTGAGTGAACTAATGTTTGGGTCTTCTATTCTGTTCTATGGGTCTATATGCCTGTTTTCTTTATTTTCTTTTGTACCCATACCATACCATATTGTTTTTATTACTGTAGTTCTGTAATGTATCATGAGATCTGGAATGGTCATCCTTCCCTAATCGTTCTTTTGCTCAGGATTGCTTTGATTTTCCAAGTACATTTGTGGTTCCATATGAATTTTTTGGATTTTTTTCCTGTTTCTGTAAAGAATGTTTTGGGGATCTGTCTTGGGATTGCACCAAATCTGGTAGAATGGTCATTTTCCTAATATTAATTTTACCAATTCATGAGCATGGATCGTTTTTCCATTTTCTAGTATCTTCCTGAATCTCTTCCTCCAGAGAAGTTAAATTTTCCTTCTAAATGTCTTTTACCTCCTTAGATTTATCTATAGATTTTTTTTAGAGTATTGTGAATGGAGGGGGAATGCATGATCTCTTTCTCAGTATACTTGTCATTGGTATGTAGTAAAATCACCGATTTTGGTAATTTGACTTTTATTTGGCTACTTTACTGAATTCAATGATAAATTTTAGAAGTTTTCTGGTGGAATTTTTGGGATCTCATATATACCATATCATCTGCAAATAGGATTTTATTATTTTTCTATTTTTACCCCTTAATTTGCTTCTTTTTGTTTTAGAGCTTTTAATTCTCTGGTATGACTATTCTCCAGTTTCTTCATGTGGGCACTTAGTGCTATGAACTTTCCTCTTAGAACTGCTTTCAGAGTGTCCCATAGGTTTGGGTATGTTGTGCCTTCATTTTCATTGAATTCTAGGAAGTCTTTCATTTATTTCTGTGTTTCTTCCTTTACCCAGGAGTTATACAATTGAGCACTGTTCAATATCAATGAGTTTGTGGGGTTTCTGCAATTTGTGTTGTTGAGTCCCAGGGGTTATCCTAGCCCACCCCCCCTCTGGGAGCTCCCTGGCCTGAGGCTCCCAGACCCTTCCCACCACCAAACCCTGAAGAGGGACCTGGAGGCAGAACAAAGCAGCCAGTTCTATCGGCAGTTATTCCAGTCTTGTCCCTCCACCATCTAGTTGAGAGGAGGAGCGACCCCCACCTAAACCAACTGGAAGAAATGGGAAGACAACAGCATAAGAATATATCCAACACCACCAGAGTCTAGGGACTTTAAACCAACAAGACCTGAACATCCCAGCACAGATGAAGCAGAAGAGAATGACCTTAAAAACAACTTCATGAAAATGATAGAGGCCCTCAAAGAGACTATGAGACAATCCCTTAAAGAGATGGAAGAAAAAACAAACCAAAAAAATGCAAGAAATCAACAAATCTCTTTAAGAAAGCAAGGAGAGCCAAGAAAAACAAACAAACAAACACATGAAGGAAACAATTCCCTAACATTTAAAAACTGGAAAACTAAAATACAGACAAAAAAGAAAACACAATCTGAGGGAATGCTGGAAATAGAAAAGCTGGGTAAATGATCAGGAACTACAGGTGTAAACATAACCAACAGAATAAAAGAGATGGAAGAGAGAATCTCAGAGCTGAAGATAAACTAGAGGAAATAGATTCTTTGACCAAAGAAAATCTTGAATCCAACAAATCTTTAGCATAAAATATCCAGGAAATATGGGACACCATGAAAAGATCAAACCTAAGGATAACAGTTATAGAAGAAGGTGAAGAAGCCCAGATCAAAGGTGCAGAAAATATATTCAACAAAATCATAGAAAAAATTTTCCCAACCTGAAGGACACACCTATGAAAGTACAAGAAGCTTACTGAACACCAAATAGACTGGACCAAAAAAAGTCCCCTTGCCACATAATAATCAAAACACAAAAATACAGGATAAAGAAAGACTATTAAGAACAGTGAAAGAAAAAGCCAAGTAACATATAAAGGCAGACCTATCAGAATTACTCCTGACTTCTTCATGGAAACTCTGAAGGCAAGAAGGTCCTGGATAGATGTTCTACAAACACTAAGAGACCACAGATGCCATCCCCAACTACCAGCAAAATACCCAGCAAAACTCTAAATCAGTATAGATGGAGAAAACAAGATATTCCATGATAAACCAGATTTACACAATACATATCCACAAATCCAGCACTACAGAAATGTCTGGAAGGAAAATTCCAACCAAAAGAAGTTAACTACACTCACAAAAACATAGGCAATAGATAATCCCACTTTACCAAAAGCCATAAATAGAGGGAAAATTCACACACAATACCACCACCCAAAATGAATACAAAACAAACAAGAATCAACAATCAATGGTCATTAATATCCCTCAATATCAATGGTCTTAACTCACCTATAAAAAGACACAGGCTAACAGAACGAATACAAAGACAGAATCCTCCTTCTGCTGCATACAAGAAACACACCTCACCTTCAAAGATAGATGTTACCTCAGAGTTAAAGGTTGGGAAAAGATTTTCCAATCAAAATTTTCTAGGAATCAATCAGGTGTAGCTATCCTAATATCTAACAAATTAGACTTCAAACTAAAATTAATCAAAAGAGATGAAGAAGGTCATTTCATATTCATCACAGGAAAAATCCATCAGGATGAAGTCTCAATTCTGAACATCTATGCACCAAATACACAGGCACCCACATTCATAAAAAAAATTACTAAAACTCAAATCACACATTAAACCCCACACACTTACAGTGGGAGACTTCAATACCCCACTCTCACCACTAGACAGGACCACCAGAAAGAAACTTAACAGATAAACAAAGGAACTAACAGAAGTTATGATTCAACTGGGTTTAACCGACCTGTATAGAACAGTCCATCCAAATACAAAAGAATCTATTTTCTTCTCAGCACCACATGGAACCTTCTGTAAAATTTGACCACATACTGGGCAATAAAGCAAACCTCAACAGATACAAAAAATTGGAATAGTCCCCTGAATCTTATCGGACCACCATGGCTCAGCAGCATTTATAATCAAATGTATTTTAGCAGCTGTAGCTCTTTCCTCAGCAATCAAACAATTTAAAGACAACACAATAGCATATAGTATCCAGACTCTCTGTGTATTTTCCATCTTTATGTGGCTTTTTTTATTTACTCAATTTCTTTTACTTTTATTTTTTCCTTTTTTGAGAAAGGCCATCTCTGTGTACTTTTACCTGTCCTGGAATTCTCTCTGTACACCAGGCTGGCTACTGTATTTCTTTTTAAACAACTTTTCCTTTTTCTTTTCTCCTCCAAGTTTATGTGTTTGTTTTTTTTTTTAACACACTGTAAACCCTTTAGAGGATTTTCTTCATCTGAATCTGTCTTTACTGTAAATTTTTATCTTTTTCTGGCCATGAAAGTCTCATCTGCACATTAACACCATTTGATTGTTTGGTAAAAGAGCCATGTGGCTCTTTTTGCTGCTGATGCTGAATCAGGAAACCGCTCTTAAAGGAGCCACGCACAAGCCTCTGCTTGTCTGGGAGAATGCCTGGCAAACAGGGCTACCCAAATAAATGCTACTACCAGGAAACTGTGCTTGCCTCTGTTCTTTTGTTTTTAAAATCCCTTTTTAAGTTTTTGTCAGGTTCTACATGGAAGTTCTTACAACCCATGTTGCCGGCGCCGTTTTGTTATGATTGGTTCTTTGTCCTGGCTGGGTCCTGCCACCTTTGGGCCCCCAAATAAACACACAGACACTATGTTAATTATGAAACTGTTGGCCAATGACTAGGACTTCTTATTGGCTAGCTCTGTCTTAATTATTAACCCAATTTCTATTAATCTATGTATTTCCACATAGTCTTATCTTACCAGAGAAGGGCTCGGAACTCTTACTCCTTCCTCCACTACATGGCAACTCCTCCTCTGTCCACACCTCCCAGAATTCTCCTCATCTCCTAGCCCTGCCTATCTTCCTGCCTGGCCAATCAGTAGTTTATTCATCAACCAGTAAGAGAAACATATACAGAATAATATCTTCCATCAGGTCATGAGTCTTTAGTGAAAGGAACAACAATTAACAAAGATTCACTCTTGTTTACTAAATAAAATCCAAGCAGTTGGGTGTGTCAGATATTATCATTTCCCAAGTTTTATTTGATGCTTGAGATAATGAACAACAGCCAAGAACATATTAAGAATTACCTGTACCTAGTGACAATATTTCTGATTCTGATGAAGGGGAAGATACTCTCATCTTTCTATAAACTCCCAGAAATATGCTTAGAGTCACACATGCAATAATATTTTTGTTGCCAAACTGAATGCATAGGATATTAAGTTAGATATATCCTCTTAACCAGGCAAACAAGCCTTAGACTCTTTGGGACCAGAAGGTAGTCAATGATATATAAAGTCTGGCTATTAGCAGACAAGTTAGAAGAGACAAAACAGTCACAATTATTGACAATTGAATAACATTGACTCTTCTTTTTGGAGATGTTGGGCCACTGTCAACACTACCACCATAGCCCCTGTGCAGGCAGAAAGGCAGGGACCACCCATAGTCACAATGGCAGTGATGCTTGTTATTACAGATCCCCTTCCTATTACAGGTCTCAGGAAGGCAGGCATTTGAAAAGACAGATAGACTGATACACTTCTTGTGTACACAGATCTTTCCTGTTCCACAGGTGGTCCCATCTTTCACTTCACCAACATCAGGTACACCCATCCCTACATGATGGTCAGTACTCCAGCAGGTGATGCCATTGGCATAAATGTTCTGCAAAACAGAATGAGTCTGGAGATGGAGAATGTCTTTCACATTTTCACACTGAACTTTCCCACAAAATATATCTGACATTCTACATTTTAGGTATACCGTACCATTTGTGCCACAGTGGCCAAACCTGTTTCCCTGTGAGTTCATTTCTTTGTAACAGGCATGAGATGCACTTCTTGCACCTTTGCCAAAAATCTCCCTGCATTGTTGGTCATGGTTATTACACTGCTTTTGATAGCAGTAGGCACTGACACCACAGGAGACCCCATTCTGTACATAGCTATCTTCAGGGCACTGGTGGGATGTTCCATTGCACCACTCTGGAAGGTCACATTCATTGACCTTTGGTCTACAGACTTCCCCTGATAGCATGAGTTTGCAGTCTTTGCAACAAAGGCCAAAAGCACAGGCAGCCCCAGGCCTCAGTTTACAGTTCAACAAACAACAGGGATCTTGTTCACACTCATGCACAGATCCACAGTCACACTCCTCTTCATTTTCAACCATACCATTCCCACAGCGCTTCAGCAGAAAGACTGCCCCTGGTCTTGGATGATTGTGCAAGCAAGTTCCTTGGTTTAAAGTAGTTTTCATAAAATCACTGTAGCTGCAGTTGGTGAATCTCACTGCTGGTACTCTGTAAGTACTCATGACACAACCACTTTCCCCACAAAAACAGAATTCTTCATCGTGCTGCATACCAAAAGTATGACCTAACTCATGCGCCACAGTGTTGGCAAAAAGAGACCAGGAGTCTCCTTGGAAATTTTCAACCCCACAGTCAAGAGGAGGATGACATATTCCTGCAACATAGGCTATACCTAGTACACTTATAAGTGAGCTTCTAATGAAAATATGGGCTGCATCATGAGGTACCTGAGAAAGACTGCCTTGTTTCCACTGAGAAAAGTCTTCTAAGACCTGATGTATATTTTCCATTGGGAAAACATTTCCTCGATTCCAGATCTCAATACCAATCAAAGTCACATAGGTATCCAGCTGCTTGTACATGGAATCCACCATGTTAACAATGAGAACCACATCCTCTTGCACCTTTGACAGATTGCGTTGACAGTAAGTGAAAAAACCATAGTCTACCACCACAGCCAGCTCCAGAAACCATGTGTGGGTCCACAATTTCACAGAATTTTGCTTCACAGCTGACCTCTCAGCATCTTCAAGTTGAAAGTGTTGGTATGGCATCCTCTTCTCTGTTAAACCACACATCATAGGTGGAAATTGTGTCTTGTTATTGTTTAATGTATAAACTAGGTGTTCAAATGTGCTGGAGTGCCTGATGGGTTGGATTTCATAGGAGAAGCCATTCATTTGTAACACTCCCTGAAACCCCCCATTGCAGGCACTGAAAGCAACTAAAGACTCAGGGACCCCCTCTACAAAACCATGATAGTAACAGTCACTAGGGACAAATGGGTAATCCTTGAGAAGGGCATGCTCCTCTGAGTAGGTGAGCACAGAGAAGTGAATAGAAACCAACAGATTTTTGACTCTCATGTGGACAACATGTCTTTGGCCCCCAAATACCAAGCTGTAGGAGAGCCATCCTGAATTTTTTGTACCTCTGTCCCTGCTGGTCACCTTTAGGGGGATTACCACTTCTGGGGAATTGAGGTATTGAGTGGACCCAGTTTTTGAGAGGACATTAGGGGACAGAGACACCTTAAGGCACAGCAGCAAAAGAGTGACTCTCATGAGTGCCTCAGCATCTGCATCTAACATTATGAAGCCATCTGCCCAGAGCAGAAAAAGACTGGGTATGAGACACTCCTGTTCCGGTTCTTCCCCTGGAGCTGATCAGGGAGTGGTGCTGACATTTAGAGGTGGTGTCCTGGCAGAGTTGGATCATCAGAGCTGCAGAGCTGAAAGTGAGAAGAATTCTCAGGTGAGGTGAGACACTCAAGTGAGAAGACACTGATTGATGCATCAAGGCAATGGTTTTGGATTTGGTTTCAATAAAGAGAATGAAGAGTTCTGGGGTGAGGTAGAGAAGATAATATTGTCCATATGTTGATAGCTGTCAAAGTTTGAAGATAAGTACTTACACAATTAGCTTAACCCTTATGGTTAATATGAAAACATCCTTAATAAAAAGTTAAAGCAAAATTAGGAACAGAGTGAGACTATATCTTGATTTGTCTAGCATAGTATTAGTTTACATTTGGGTGTCTTTGCATAACTATCGATAGTGTCCCACTTGATGGCTAAAAGTGGAGGCATGAAAAATAATAAACAATCTATTTAATAGTAAATTGTATTACAATCCAATAAATTTGTATTAGTATCAGGATTTACGTGAAGTGTTCTTTATCCACTGTCTCCTCATCAAATTCTCCTCTAGCTATATGTAGCACATTGCAAGGTCCTTATCTACAGAGTTCATGACTTTCATTCATTTTAGCATCTTCTATAATACCTAATGTATTTCTGTGAACCATAAAAAAGTAGAGAGATGTGGTGGAACACCTTAGATTACAAATGAGTGTTACTTAAAATGAATTCATCTTTAATTATAATTTTAGAAGGGGAAAGTTCATGTAACTCCTGTAAGGATATAGGAAGCATGTGTTATCAGTTGCCTAGAGAAAATAGCAATGTCAAGAGAAAATGTCTACAGAAGGAAAATGAGAACATATGCAATTTAAATCCCTGAGCACTTCCTGTGTGGTATTTTAGGACTACTATGGAAGAATCCCAATTTTTTCAAAAACATATACTCGTGAATATGGAGAATTTCTGCACCTGACATATAGTCTCACTGGCAGCATATCCATTTCTTTATTCATTAAAACCGGATTTATGCATTTGAAGAATACAAAGTATAGAATGTTATGCCAGACAGGGGGATCAAAATATAGACAATAATAAAATATACATATAATCAATTAAGTGCAGAAACATAATAGAAATATGAATGAGCTTTATGGAGTCTCTGTGTGCAAGGTTTTATATTGAATAAATTAGAGTTCTCTTGTTATTCTGAGAAAAAGTTGCAAGATTTCATCATAGTTTCAAGTAACTTACACAAAAGAGAATAAGAATCACCAAGCCTATGTGAAAATAAGAGAAGGAAACCAACATTTATAATGCTTATTGAGGCAAACAGGATTGATGGGAGATTAACAAAGTTCATGCTTCAGGAGTCTTCATTGCAGAGCACCAGAAACACCCTAAACACCACAACACACTTAATACAAGTCACAAAATATACCTCATAAACAAAAAAGAGGATGTCAGAAATTGGATAATATTTGGATAATACATGTATTTATCTCTTTACCAATAATATGTTCTGGAGAGGAAAGGTTTTTTCTAAACTATCAGGAATACAGAATAAATATTTATCATAGTAGAATGAGGAATTCTTTTTAGCTCCCCCAGTATAAAGTACAATGGAGTAATTCTTATAAAGGAAGAGATTGGAGAATCAATAACTAAACCTATTTATTAATAGTCCCAACACTTGTAGATGGAACCGAAGGAAGGAAATTTGTGAGTTGAAGGCCAGCCCTGGTGACACTACCTAAAACAGGTACATAAACATGAGGGACTACATATTGTAAAGGTGTGCCCCGATCAATATAAACACTGAGGAGGATCAAATTTCATGATACGGTGCTGTCAGCTTTTCAAATTTATAAACTGCACTAAGTAAATGTTCTCTTTCACACTTATTTTGGTACTTGTAATTCTGTGTCTGCTTTCTTAAACTAGGCACTTCATTTTATACATGACTCAGGGTCAAAACTTTTATTTCACTTCTGGTCTCCATAAAAATACCAACAGTAGTTGGTATAAGAACAGTGTGTGTGTGTGTGTGTGTGTGTGTGTGTGTGTGTGTTTACATGTACAAGTAGATGCCTCTCATGTCTACGTTAGGTGTCTTAAGTCACTTTCCACCCTACTTTCTGTATCAGGGTTTTAACCCTGAAAACTTGAATCTCACTGATTCTTCTAGATTTGCTGATCTGCAAGCCCTTGCCGGTCTGTCCCTTCCTCCCTAGCACTGGAATTACAAGTACGTGCTGCCATGCCCAAATTTTACATGAGTAGTGAGGATTCAGACTCAGGGATGTATGCTTGAGTGGCAAGCACTTTAATAACTGAGCCATCTCCCCGGCTTACAGGATTACAGGCATGCACCAGTATGCCCAGCTTCTTATGGCATCTTTAATCATGCTGATATGACAAACCTCACCTAAGGAGATGTGGAAAATAAAAATGCCTAACCAAATGCCAATCACCTCCTGAATTCCAAATCCATCCTCACTTAATCAGAGCATCCGGATTCAATGTTGCCTGTACCTCCATATATCTTTTTATGTTTTCTGGAGTCTTCTTTTGGTGAGAGAGGAAGATAAGAAGGAAAGGACAAAGGTAAGGGGAGGAGGAGGAAGGAGGACTGTGTGAGGTTAAGGGGAGAAAGGAGAGAGACAGAAAAACGCTTTATTCCCAGCCTCTTTAAGAAAAGCACCCCCCACCTCTGCTTACCTAGTTAAACTTGAGTTTAAGGAAGTTACTGCTCCATGAAGGCTCACTCCAACTCCATCCTTGGAAGCTTCATATACGATGTGGTTCCAAGTCAATGCTCCTATTCTCCTGTGTACAAAGTCAATACCAGAGAATTCATTCTTCGGCTGACTGCACTAATCTTTTCATTTCTCATCAACTACTTCATCATTCTTGCACAAATTTCTAAGGCATTGGCCCCAGACTGATAAAATTATTCTTCACCAAAAATGTGACCCTCAACTAATCTCAGCAAGTGAGTAACACACCCCCAAATCACTTTTTAGTTAGTCATAGCTATAATCTCTTTCCCACCTCACTCCATTTCTTTGTATCACACATACACACACTTCTGATACCCTCAGGAATTTGCAATTCTAATCCTTCTAACTCTGCCTTACTCTGAGACAAACTCCTCAAGCTCAGAGATAACCTGAGTGCTTTTCACGTTTCCTTGGGTCTCATGTCTCTCAGTCTCTTGCCTGTGTGATCCATTTGAGCCAGCTCCAGTGCTTCAACCACTACATATGAAAAAATTCAACTCTCTAATATCCTACAATTATAATTTCTATGCTGAGCACGTCTAGAGATCCATGTCTAAAGCCATGATCACATGGAGGTGCCGTTGGGAGATGCTGTAAACCTTCTGAAGGTGGAGCCAAGTCAGGGGATATGGTCTCTGGCTCCCTGGAGATGTGCCTGAGTGGTAACTATGGAAGCCTGGCTTGTCTTCTTCCTCTCCGTTTCACTCCCCAACTTATAATGAATGTGGATTTGTTCTGCCTTTCACTCCTCTCCATTCGCATCTCGTCTGACCATCAGAGGCTGGTCACCTGATCATGGACTGGAACCTAGAAGACACTGACCCGAAATAAACCTTTTCTGCTTGTAACTTTTATTATTTGGGGTATTATGTTATAGTGACAGAAATGTAACTAATAGACCTATTTACAATATACATTGTATGGGAGAAACTACATGGATCCTGTCAAATTCATTATTCCTTCATTGAAGTTATTTACAAAAACAATCCCCAAACAATGAAATTATCAAAAACTTTAAGAGGGGGTGTACAAGCTGAACTGAAATGATGTGTTCTGGCTTTCCAGTCGAAGGGATAGAGACATTAATCCAATGTACATTCAGGCCCTCTGATGCCTTGTTTATTTTCATTTTCCTAGATACTTCATTCAAATCTCCTAAATGTTCTGAATCTTCTTGTCGATGAAGTTCATGTGGAGAAAACCATCCTCATCTCATGGATAACACAGTAAAGTTAAATGGTTAACCAAGTACACTCTGAGTGTAAGGTTTTTGTTTTGTTTTGTTTTGTTTTTAATCTCTCCTCGGTTTGCTACATAAATACTGGTTTGTTTCAGTCTGAAAGTATCATTGCCATTGGAGTTCCTAAAAGATCCTGGACCCGTTTGACCAGGACTTCAGCTGCATCCACTACATCCACTAAGAGCACCACCTGTGCATATTCACGATGTTCCCTTTTCAAAGGGCCCTGCCCACCTCCCATCCTCTCTTTCTTTCTCTTCCTCTCTGTCTGTTCCTCTCTCTCCCTTCTCTACCCTTCTTTCTTCCCTCCTCTCTTCTTTCTTCTCTTTCATGATGCTCCTGTCTCCAGAGGCTGGTCTCCCCCCTCTCCTTTCCCCTTTTTATGATCCATTTCCCTAATTTAAAAAAAAAATACGGCCAGGTGTTGGTGTTGCACGCCTTTAATCCCAGCACTCGGGGGACAGAGGCAGGTGGATCTCTGTGAGTTCGAGGCCAGCCTGGTCTCCAAAGCGAGTGCCAGGATAGGCTCCAAAGCTACACAGAGAAACCCTGTCTCGAAAAACCAAAAACCAAAACAAAACAACAAAAACAAAAATGAGAGGCTTAGGAGGAGAACATTCAGAGAGATAGGAGAAGGAAAACATCAAAAGAGACAGAAGGGACATTTCTGGATAGAGATAAGAAAAGAAATATAGAACACAGAACGAAGAACACAGAAGAATAAAAAAGGAACCCATCAATGGAGTATGTATCTTTTTCCCTAACCCCCTCAGATAATAAAGTCTAGTACTCATTGACTCTGTGGATTTCTCTTGAGCCCTGTGCTGCTGGAGGCTTGTCCCACAGGCAGCAATACAATGTGGACCTACATCCCCCCAATCTTTTTCCTGGAGCGTACCTTTAGAGCAGGCAGCAAGAGGAAAATGAATACAATCATTACAGAAGACTCTCTGCTGTCCTTCCTAGAACTACAGAGACAAAACCAATGGAATATCATTCTTCTATTAGTGATGTGAAGTTCAGCCACAGCTGTCTATATTCTTCAACATTGTCAGATTATCAAGCATATTCCTTCACACATTGTATAACTTTCCCATGGTTTCA